GGATTTCGGTTGAAGCCTTCGTAAAGATCATCACCTTTCCGGGCCGCCGCCATCGCTCGACACAAAGCAACGTGACATTCATCATAAACCCGCGCCAGAGTGAACAGAGCTAGTTTCAATGACAACAGACGGAGGGCTTCCATCAGTTGCTCTTCGCCGAGCAGTCGGCATAGCGGTCGAGTAGAAATCTGATGGACGGTGTTGATATGCTGTCGTCGCAGGACTGTGCGAACATTCCGAGGTCCGGTGGTGTAGACTCGTTCTACGTCGCCCACCAGCTGCTGGAGACGAGTTGCAAGGTCGGATATCAGGGTAGAGTCGACATCGTCGGCAGGAATGCCAGTTTGGGTCATGATTGTACGATTTGTTGTTGATGATACAGTACGAGTCCTAGCTATTCAAGGGAAGGAAAACACATAGTCCTAATCCTATGGTGCCCTTCAAGCGAGGTCTTTATAGAAGCAAAATGAAAACGAGAAATACTCAATCCCTCTCTGTGGAATTGTGATTTGACGATTTAAGTTCGACATCAGATCCGCAGAAAAGAGTTACCAAAAGGTTCCGCGACGGCAGCTCGGCCTTTTGCGAAATTCGGCGGTGGCGGGTCAGTCGGGTTGGCCTATGGAGATGGGCTTTTCGCGACTTGACCAAAAGGTAAACTTATGGGAAAGCTAGTTACTGTAGCTAGGATTGGTTTTTCCCCCTCTCCCCCTTGTATTTCTTTGCTTTCCTTCCTTTTTGGCTCATGTTCGCATTTCCGTCGGACACCTTTCGGGATATAGTGCATAAAGTGCGAATCTTCGGATTCAAGAGGTCGCGAGTCGGTCAGAACGTGGCGCGAAAGCAACAAAAGTGCCCATCACTTTCGCTCTGGTACTCCCCCTTACTTTTAGTATAATATCAGATCAGTATGACACGTTCCGTGGCCCTTTGAGAAAATGCCGCCTGTAAGCTATTTCCACCCCCGCTGAGCAGGTTGTCATCGGTGGGAATTTTGTCAAAACAAAAGACACCAATCCTCTCATAAACGGCCCTGCTGTTAAAGGAGGGCCGCCTCAGAATGAGGCCGGCAACCTCGGCAGCGGGATGCGCAGGTCGACCTCTCCACTCGGTGACGACTGGTAGTAGATCGACATTGATCGTACACCTCGGGACTAACGCTTCATCCAGAAGGATGGTCGGGTCTGAAGCAGAGAGTGCGTCCACTATCATCTCGAGGGACTCTGTCGTAGAATTCGCTTGTCTCGGTTCCACCGCATAGCTCCCATCTTCGTCTGGACTGCCATCTTCATAATCACTCGTAATTTGAAGCTCCACGGGTATCAAGCGGCCACTGACGCGTATTTCCGAGGGATGCGAAGCTTCAGAAGCCACGTCTGAATGAGACTGCGTGATGATCTCTTCGATCCGCAGAAGAAGCTGGCCACATTGGGATGGCCACTTCCAGACGATCTTGGCGTCCAGTGACGCCCAGGACCAGGATGGCGCTCGATAGCCCCTCATACACCGTGGACCATGCTTGGCGGAAGGCCGACCGTTGGCTTGTTGCCTCCCTGGGGTGTACCATAGCAGGCTATGAGCGAGATCGGGGCTGTCCCACAAGCCTGCCAGATATCGTTCCCCGGTCATATCATGGACTTTGTTGGCGAGCCCCTGGATCGCCACTAGTTTGTCCGTAGCATGGGAGAGTTCGCATCTCATATAGTGCTCGACCGCAGTGCTCCAATATTCGTATGCCTTTTTCTGGCGTATCAAGCGATCTACGGGCCTAGGTGGTAGGAGATACGCCTGTAGGGCACCCAACCATGACTTCTGAGAAGGTTCCGGATGGACTTTGCTTTTGGGACTGAGGACTTGTTCACTCTGTCTCCAGGCCTTAGTTCTATGGTTGGAGAGCTCGTCGGGAATGCCAGTAGGATAGGTCTCGCAGGCCTTGTGTTCTCGACAGTCCCAAAATATCTGTTCTCCGAAATGTATTGTGCGTGGACTCAGCAGTCGTTCTTGGAGCACCCAAGCCCTATTGTGGAGAGAGCTACTGAGGAGGCTGTTACACCAGAAGTCGTCGTAGCCGATGATATGGGTGGTGGAACGAGAAGCGCGCTCGGGATCTCGCATCAAAAAGGGCTCTATGATCTCGAGCCGTCTTTTGCCCAGGAATCCAGCTTCCCCAACCTGGTTCAGTGCGGCAATGTTACAGTGTGTTCCAGCATAAATGTCGTCCATAATGTTTGATTGTTCTCGCCAGTCATCCTCAGAATCTTGAATAATACAGAGAGCGTCGATCCACAAGTAATTGATTCCTATCGACCTCGCGACCGCTATGGCATGTCGGAAATTTCCGGGCAAGCTAGATTCGGCGAACCCACGTCTCAAGTCGGTCAAATTGGACGTTTTGAGTTGCGATAACGATCTCTCGGAACTGTTATTCCAGCAATGGCTCAACGTAACGTATTTATTGGGCCCAGTTCCGGGACCGAACTCTTCGAGACGGATGTTGGTGTCGCTGACATTGAGGAGGCGCATCGAGTATTGAGTTGTCGTTCGCCAGTCCTCATTGCAGAGGGAGTGGCCGTGGGTGCACCGGGAGAGCCATGTCCGTATCTGACTTTTGCAGGGTTCGCTGGAAGTATCGTCCTCAAGTTTGAGCTTCACAGGAGTCCTGGATAAGGCTGCCGAGGTCGTTTAGCCAAACATTTAAAGGGTTCTGTCAACGATATACCGCTTTCAGGAAGGATCTTAAAAGCACCCTCGCACTCGATCACCTGTGGCGGTGTCTCATAGCGTGAAAAGCCTGCAGGCAGCTCGATGGTGAACCTTAAGGCCCATCGCCGATGACCGTTGGGGCAGATTTCGTAGAACGTGCGAGAGGATTGTGCACGACTCCGCTCTTGCTTTGGAAACATCTCCAAGAGAGCATTGCAGATATAACATCCCTTCTCTACTGAACTGATGAAGCCGGAGTCGATGGTGTGGTGAGCTCCTCTCCAAGTGTCTACTCGCGCCGGGTAGGCGAACTGCTCGGGTTCGGGGCCATCCCAAGAGCCCGGTGGAGTTCCTATGCGAGCAACGACTCCTTGGCAAGAAGCACACAGTAAAGCACGGGATGCAGAGGTGGATGGATCGTACGGACCTACCCTCATGGTGTTGTTATCGATGTCAGCGTCTGATTCGGTTCCTAGATGCATGAGGATGGGGGGAGCAAGCTGGTGGGATCGCGGTGATGACGTGAAGGTAATCGACGACGGATGTGACTTACCTCCTCCTTTATATTCACTGTGTCAGGCGCTAAATGGGAGCAACTGAGGGAGCACGGGCTTCATCTAAAAGAAGCAACGGTGGGAGCAACCTATATGAGAGTACCTATTTGACAGCCTCCCATATGAGTAAACCTACATTAGAGTAACCTGTGCGATAGCCATCTGTATTCAGTGGCGTCCGCATAGGAGCCCTATGTATGGGAGCGACTTGTATGGCAGCCGTTTAAAGGCCTTTTTACCTACGGGGAGCAAATCGCCGGGATTACTATGTCGAAAACAATCCGAAAACCTACAAGTAGATTAGAATAGTTAGCAGGAATCTAGGAAGCGCCACCACCTCGCGGGAACCTTGGTAGTAACGAAATTGCCGGGACTTTGGTCGGCATTTTGGATATGTCGGTGGGGTGTAGACAGCCAATGGTGTTCTACTTGACCCTCGCCAAGTGGTGGGTTTAGCGACAGCCTTGGTTTGAGCAGAACGGCTTTCAACATACAAGATAGATCGCATCATCAATGCCTGGAGGTTGAAGCCATTCTACCTCAAGAGAAGATTGGATGAAAAGTAAGAAAGTTGTACGTAAGTATTGCCCTAACCTGATTAGGAAGGTTATCCGGCTAGTTTTTACACGCCGGCAAGTCAAACTGCCGTGCGACCGTTCCCACTAGATAGAACAA